GAGATTAGGAAGGAGCTCTTGGCTCCTGGCTCCAAACTCATCCAGCTTCAGCCATTGCAACCATTTGGGGAGTGAACCAGTGGATGGAAGATCTCTCTGTCTCTTCTCTTCTCTCTGTAACTCTTCCTTTCAAAAACAAACCGAAACAAAACAAATCTTTAAAAAGGAAATGACAAATAAGACTGCAATAAAAGTGAATATGCTAGTAGCATTATCATCCAAACCCACAAAGTTAGGTGTAACAGTTAAGATATCAGTTGGGATGCTAGTCCATATTCCATATCATAGAGGCTTATTACAAATCCTAGTTCTATACCCAAATCCAACTTCCTGCTAATTCCCACCCTAGCGGGAAATAGGCAAGGGTTCAAACAGCTGGGCCTCTGCTACTTGAACTGTGTTTCAGATTCCTGAATTTGGTCTGGCTCAGTTCTGTGCATAGCAGGCATTTGGGGACTGAACAAACAGTTGGGCAACACACATATTCATTAATTCAATCATTAACATTCTCTATCTCATAAAATAAGAAAATTTTAAATCTATGTATAAATCATGATTTATGATGATGACATTAGGTTTCTGCGAATTTTCAAATAGAAGGTCTTAAAGTGAAATGTTATCTGGTTCTAGATAAAATTAGGCCATAGAAAATTATTGGCTCATGGTAACGTATCTTTCATTCATGACACATGAGACTTTTCTGCCTCACGTTCTGTCATCGACGCTTATGAAGACATTAGACACTGAATTGACTGTTTTTTTCATGATAGGTTAATTAACACAGTATTGTAGATGGTAACTCCCCAATTCATAAGAAGAATGAAGATTCAAAAAGAAAAATTTCATCACCAAGGTATGCTGATACATTCTTTAGTTATGTCTTTAACTTATGGTACATTCCTTGATCTTCACAAATTCATATGATACTTGAGAGAATTATTCTTATTCCTTGTTTTTGATTGGAGTTAACATGAACAAAGCATCTTTTCTTAGTGAAGGGAAAGCAAAAAACCAAAAAAATATATGAACATTCTACTGCACACTGTGTAAGAAGCACAGTTCACACCAGAATGTGTAGGTTCTTGATTTTGAGGGATTACCAATTGCTTTGGTCTTCAGGTTATTAAATGATTGAAACAGTGGTCAGTGTAACCAATGACATCCTGACTGACAAGCACAGCGCATGCCTTTCCCTTCAGGATTTGAGCAACTACTGGGCTGTTTGATGTCAGCCCGAGCCCAGCAGCCTGATACACACACCACATTGCCCAGCAGGCAGCCACATCTCTTTGAAGATTTTTAGTTGATTCTGTTGTTGATAAAAATTGATCTTGCCATGAAATCAGATGGATTTACTCAAGTAGCCATCACCAAATAAAGAAAATATATTTTAATATAGAAACTGCACAAGTTATTTGCACATCAAAGACAGAAGAGCCTGCCTTGAGAGTTAATACATATTTTCAAATAAAACTCCACTAAACAGTACTTTACATTAAAAATTTTAAGTAATATTAAAACTTCTAATAAGCGATGTTATAAATTTTACATATAAAATTATACGTATTAGTGGGGTACCATGTTACCTTTACTATCTTTATAAACCAGCATTTTACATTTCACATACAATCCCAGCGTGCCTTAAGATCATTTTTGATAAATTTCAACCAACCTCACTATCAGACAAGCCAAAATCTCTTCTATTCCAAAGGAATCAATTTGCTACATGACCATTTTTTATTTTTACCTAAAAGCAACTAATAAGAATGATAAAAATGTGGTTGCATGTAGTCCTGTTTCTTCACCCTTGTCTGGATGTGTTCAGCCACTGTCATATTTTTCCCTAACCTGTTTTTGCAGAGATACTATCTTTGTTCTTGGGTTTTCAAAGTCAAGCCTGTAGAACCAGTACTTACACTGTTCTCACTCACAATCTCTATCAACACCACTGAAAATAGCAACACGCTATTTGAAGCTCTAAGTAAGTTATCCAGAATATTGTTCCAAGCAACTGCTAGTGAAGCCAGCAGCTGCATGGTTATTTGGAACCAGCTGGTATTATGGTACCTACCATATGTTACAGAAAGAAGTTAAATTTTAAAGAAATTTTAGAACTACCAGCTAATTTCCTGAGCTGTTTTGAAATATTGTAAATACACTGTAATTTTGCTTTCAACATTTTTGTTAGTATGCCTTTTATTCTTACACATTAAAATTGAGCTTCTGCTCAAACATTCCTGGAATATTTTCACATAACCACCAAAATCAAATAAAAACATTCAACATGCTGACCAAATCTATTTTGTATAAAATGTAGTAAATTTACGGTTATATGGTCATATTTCAGCTTTATATTTTTCTCTCTGTAGTCAAATAAGTGTTAATATACAAAAACAAAATTAAATGAGGTTGTCATTTTATGTAACAATTAAGATAAATAATCAAATACCTTTTCACCTTTATTAAAGAAATTACTATGGAGGTCAACATACTTGATTAAATTATAGACCTGTAAAGGCTTTAGTCACCTCCAATATTCTAAAACAGCTTAATAATGAATCTACATGAGAACATAGCAGGTATAGGATATGCTTTTTTATTATTAAGATATAGTTTATCGTATAGTCAAGAGTTAGACACATGGTAATGGACTCTATATCAACAGTGCCCATCTTCTTAGATAAAAGAATATACATACCTAGTTGTGCCTATTGATAAAACTTGAGGCTTTCAACCTACTGTCTAAATAACATATGAAATCACTCTCTAAAGTGTCCAATCAGTGCATTTGCTTGCAATAACAAAAAACCTCATCATTTGTTATTATAAACCAGAACTGTTAATGATACATAGTATTTCAATAAGCACTTGTTCAATTAATGCATATACATGCAAACATGCTTTCATCAGCAGAAGAATTTTGTTTATTACAAGAAAAGATAACCATAATCAGGTAAAAGTGCAAAGTGCTCAGGTCATATTATCTAGAGATAAGCTGCAGTAAAAATAATCAGGAATCTATTAAGTTTTTATGAGTCCTAAGTGTTTCCTAAGTTAAGCTTTTTCATGTACATGTCTATGGTTTTATTTTCACTACTTCAGAGATAAAGGCCTTCTTTATCTGAAAAAAGTTACCATAATTTGACACACATAATAATTATTAAATATTCACTTTATTGTGTGAAGAGTGATTAAAAACACTCACAGCATAGTTAAATATGATGGATCACTCAAAATAAAGTAAGAAATAGGATTTTTTTAAGTAATAGTTAATATCAGGAAATTAAACCTAATGGAAGCTTAATTGAACCAAATCAGTTTTGCATTGGATATTGAAATAACCCTAATACCTAACATATTCATAGAGCAAAAGAGACCCAATTTGAATTTTTATGGATAAAAAAATGTCTAAATATATGAAAATGAAGAATTTTAAAAGATATAGAAAGACTACATATAGGTTCTGAGTTTACAAAGCTGCCTGGGACAATTCTTCAGCTTGTGAAAGCATACAGTGTAATTCACTAAGTCAGTAAAAAATGCTAAGTACTAAAACATGAGTTAGGCTATTGTAGGAGTTCAGTAAAATCCCACCGTGTGTGTGTGTGGCAGGGTGTGCATCCTTCTTAACTATGTAAATATCAAAAATAAAACTTAGTATTAAAAATCCCACTGGGAAGAATATGCCATACTATACACACACACTTATTATATACATATACACAATGTATATGAAAGCACACAATAAGAAACCTATCATGAGACAATTAGGGAACATATAAAAAAACCATACTGAATACTATATGTACTTACAGAATATTACATGTCAATCATAGCTCAAGTATAAAGAAAAACAAAACCTATGATAGTGGAGGTCAAAAGCTTATTGCCTAACTAGATGCTCTTAAACACTTACAATGGAGTTGGAGAAACCATATCAGAAGGACTGGAAGCAGAGACACTTGGTAAATTATACACATTACAGATCAACTGAAAAATACCCAGAAGAAAAGATCAGTAAAAATTACTTTTGCAATGTGTAGTATTGACTACTGAGTAACTCTAAAGAAGCATATATACAAAGTGTCTAACTTCTTATGGTAAAGAAACAATGTTTCCTGCATGATATGCCCTTAAACAGACTGGTGGAAAATCTTATTAACAGAAGACAAAACTCTTAGAGTCCTAAAGAATTGTATAATTTCCCTTTTGTATTCAAATATCAAATCATAAAATACAGGCTGACCAAATGACACTACACGTACAAACACCATTTCTGAACCAATTTCCAAAGGTTCACCATGATTAGTCTTTGTAAGTAGTTATTGGTCCCAAACACTGAATGCTAACACATAGGAAATTACAATATAAAAAGCAGAAAATAATTATGTAGTTCAGATATGAAAGAAATAATTTCAAATAGAAACTGGCATTCATGCATACATACATACATACATACATATACATATATAGCTACAGCTACATATACACAGATTTAGTTTATTCTTTTGAGGAGAGGTGAGCTGTTTAATACTGAAACATTTTAAGAAATAATAACAATTCTTAAATTTACAGATTTTTACTTAGGATTGCTTCTGGTATAGGGATAAATGTAAAAATACATCAGAGAGATAACATCAAAGATTCAGTGATTATGATTAGGTTATATGAATAAAGAGAGAAAAGGGATCTAGCAAGGAAGCTAAAGAAAATCAGCTCTGACATATAGGAATATTCCATCTGGAATGCAGAATCAAGTTTATTTGATAGCACTCTATAAAATGGGTTATAGAGACAATGCATGTTCTCAAAGACACAGAGGCAATAACTGGTTTCTATGAGGCTAAAGTTAACCTAATATGTAGGAAGGTGGTCCTAGAATGTAACAAATCACAAAAATAATGACAAAAAGCAATCCAGGTGTGTTCATAAACATGATCATCTCATCAGTGTTACAGCTAAATTCCACTATGTAAAACAAATCAAATTAAATTTGTTACCTTTGCTTTATCTCTCATTGATCCTTTGCCCAGGATAGACATTTTAGCGCCTGTTTCTTCCTGTAGCCTCTTCAAGGAGTTTCCTCTGGGTCCAAGCAATTTCCCCACAAAATTGAACTACAAAACAAAATCAATAGGAAGTCTGTTTTAGAATTAGGGAGGATTTATGCCAAGAATAAGTGATGAATTGTGTAGTTTTACAATGTCATCATTGAAGAGATACATCTCTCACCCCTTCCTCAACACAGAACCATTTCAGATCTTTAATGTAAGATCCATATTAAAATGTACACCTGTGGGCCAAAAAGGTTGATACCAAAAAGAATTCCTATGAGCACATCATAATGAACTAGTGACTGAATCCCTGGCTTGCATGCGCCAGGATCCCATATGGGTGCCGGTTCATGTCCCAGCTGCCCCACTTCCCATCCAGCTTCCTGCTTGTGGCCTGGGAAAGCAGTGAAGGATGGTCCAAAGCCTTGGGACCCTGAGCTGCATGGTTCCTGGTTTCAGATCGGCTCCTGGTTTCAGATCAGCTCAGCCCTGGTCATTGAGACCACATGGGATGTGAACCAGCAGATGGAAGATCTTTCACTCTGTATCTCCTCGCTGTAAACTTGGCTCTCCAGGAAAAATAAATACATATTTTTTGAAGATTTATTTTATTTTTATTGGAAAGGCAGATGTACAGAGAGGAGGAGAGAAAGTGAGGAAGATCTTCTATCCAATGATTCACTCCCCAAAAGGTTGCATTGGTTGCAGCTGAGCCAATCTGAAGCCAGGAGCCTGGAGCTTCCTCCTGGCCTCCCATGCGGGTGCAGGGTCCAAAGGCTTTGGCCTGTCCTCAACTACTTTCCCAGGCCACAAGCAGGGAGCTGGATAGGAAGCAGGGCCGCCTGGATTAGAACTGGAGCCCATATGGGATCCTGGCACATTCAAGGCTAGGACTTTAGCTACTAGGCCACAGTCTATCAATTTAAGACACACAGACTACCTGAAGTTATCACCTGGGATCAGGGACAGGGATGGCACAAAAAATGGGTTGTGGTGTGGAAAGAAAGAAATTGATTGTGAAACACAAAGCAGTTTCTCTTTTCAGGCGATAATAATCTTTGAAAATTAATTGTGAGGTTGATTTCACTTCTCTAAACAAACTAAAAACCATTGCATTTTATACTTAAAATTGATATATGATATGAAATATATTTCAATAAACCTAAAAAATATCTAATTACAATATTTAGAGTATATGATAAATAAATGTAAATAAAAACAAAAGGTTTCCTGCTAAGCATACTATAAAGTCAAGGGTATCAGTTCTTACCACATGTATGCAATACCGTACTGCAGTTGCATGTATAGGGAAAAAATGGAACAGTACAACAACATCCGCATTGTTTACTGATGAGCACACTGTCTAGACATGTGACATTGCAGTAAAATTTAAAGAGTACATTCTTTGATCAAGTAATGTTGAAAAATAAGATGTCCATATACAGAAAAACTTTTTTTTAAAGATTTATTTTATTTTTATTGGAAAGGCGGATATACAGAGAGGAGAGACAGAGAGGAAGAACTTCTGTCCGATGATTCACTCCCCAAGTGAGCGCAATGGTCGATGCTGTGCCGATCTGAAGCCAGGAGACTCTTCCGGGTCTCCCACAGGGGTGCAGGGTCCCAAAGCACTGGGCCGTCCTCAACTGCTTTCCCGGGCCACAGGCAGGGAGCTGGAAGGGAAGTGGGGCTGCTGGGATTAGAACCGGCGCCCATATGGGATCCCAGGCGTGCAAGGCGAGGACCTTAACCACTGCGCCATCGCACCGGGCACAACTTACTGTTTTTAAAAAGCAAGTACATGTATGCATAAGGAATATATAAGTTTTACCTACCTTGAGACAAACCTTGAGATTAATCACAAATAAAAATGTAAAAGATAAAATTATTAAATTGTATGAATAGCATATAAGAACTTTGCAAAACTGGTTCAGAAAAATATTACTTATTTAAGAAGGAAACAATAATTCTATACCTCTAAAAAACGCTGCTGATTCAAAGAACCATGAAGTATTAAGCAGACAACCATGACTAGAAAATACTCCTCATACATATGTCAGATACATAACTAGTTTTTAGAATCTGTGAAGAATTCCATTAAATCAATAATAAACAGGCCATATCTAGTTAAAGAATGACACCAATGTCAGTAAGCATGTCAGGTTAATAAGCATTGTTGGTGTTCGTAAAAGCAATTTTTTAGAGAAAGTTTTATTTTGTTTCTATGAAATGCAGAGTTTCAGGGAATAGGAGAGTTTTGGGAGGAGAAACAGATAAAGAGATTGTCCATTCACATCTTCCCTGGTCTAATAACTCTAAGGCCAGAGCTGGGCAAGGGCTCTGCGTAGCAGAAGCCAGTGCTGTTGGGCCATCACTCTCCACCTTCCCAGGAGCACTGGAAGGGAAGTGGATCAGTAACAGAGTAGCTCGAACTCTAACTGGCACCCGATATGGGAAACCAGTGTCCAAGTGGCAGCTTTTCCCTCTGCCACAATGATAGCCTCATGACAGGTTTAAATGAAAAGGCTATATAGCTACATTAGAAAGAACACTGGCATTTATTAATTAGGCTAAAAAGAAGTCCACTATAACCTTACACTTTTATCCAAGAAAAATACCATACCTACACAAATTTAATGCCATAATATTCATGACTCTTTTTTCTACAATGACAATTAATTAATTATGTCCCATCATCCAATATGGCAGACACCTATTGAGCAGTAAGTATACTATTTAAGGTAAATTTGGCATAAATGTATCTAAAATATTTTCACAAAGAAAATCTAGTGATTTAATTGGCTAAACTAGATAGAAGTAAATCGAGGTTCATCATTGCAGAATGGACAGACAAGTCTATACATAAGCAGATATGAGCTAGTCACTAACTGATACCATGACAGGGATTTATTTTTCAAACATTTGAACGAAACAACTCAGGTATCAAAGAGTACATCATGCTCCGTTTCATTATCACAAAGTTTTAATTGTAACATTAACCTGTTACTAGAACCCATAATCTTGGTTGCATGTTGACCACAGAAGGCTAAATTTGGATTGACTGGAAAACAGCATAAGGGAACAACTGATTAATGAAATTGCTCTATAGTTTGTTCTGGAAACTTACCAAGCTGCACTCTAAAGATCAGTGTATTTCATAGATAGAATGTCAAGAAAATAAGTTGGGGTGAGGGCTGGTATGCTGGTATACCAGGCTAATCCCCCACTTGTATAAGCATCCAATATAGGCACTAGTGTGTGTCTAGCTCTCCGCTATGCCCTGGGAAAGCAGCAGAGGATGGCCCAAGTCCTTAGAAACCTGTGCTTTCATGGGAGACCAGGAAGAGGCTCTTGACTTTGGATTCAGAGCTCTGCTCTGACCACTGCAACCATCTGGGGAATGAAGGAGTGGACTAAAGATTCTCTCTCTCTCTCCTTCTCTTTGAAATCTGTCTTTCAAAAAAAGTAAGAAAAATTAAAGAAAAGGAAACTAGGTGTCTAAAAATATAAATCTTTTTTCAGATAACAGCACAATGAAATGCACAGTAAAGAACTACCAGTCTTAAGACTATACAGAAGAATCAGATTTCCAGGAAATGTGTCACTGCAATTTATGCAGACCATTTAAAAAAATAAAATGGAAAATGTATTCCTTTACTCACTGTGCCCAACATGAATAACTTTTATAGTACAATAAATTAAAACAGGAAATTTGCAGACTGAAACAACTGAGGTAAAACAGCTAAACCAACCACCTCAACAAAAGAATATCACAAGTGAGAAACCTCAGTATCAAAATCTCAACCATTTGCTCATGGCTCATTGCTACTTAGAAATCATGTGAGCTTGCAAGTCAAACAGCCCATGAGCCCTTTAGCACCAATGGGCTCCAATTCTCATGAATCAAGGCCCAACTCCGGTTATCTCACAGGTGGCTCCAAGTAATCAAGTAGGTGGTTACATTTATTGCTGGACCAGAAAAGAGCCAGGCATGGACTATCCAGCTGAGATAGGTAGGGAATGTGTGGTATTTCCCCTCACCTTCCAGGCTATTGTGAATTGCCCCTTTCCAAGCTATTGTGGACTTCCCCTATAAAAACCCTGTGAATGTGCTATTCGGGGTTGCATTCAGGTACAGGGTGTTGGTCCCTGCGTGTCAGTCAGTCTGCTGCCTGCTCTCAACCAAGAGCCCAAGTCTGAACATGGTGAGTTTGAATACACCATGCTTGTGCACTTACATCAACTTCAGACTTCTGGTGATTTCTGGGAATCTCAAAATCTGGGCACAACAATGTGGACTGGAGCAATGGCTAATTTTAATTTATAAACCAATGAAGGGGCTAGTATCTCACTTGAATAAAATGATTTGGTAAAATTTTTTTAAAAATTGTTGTGTAAGAGTTATCTAAAAAAATAAGGAAAACTTTCTGAATAAATAGGAGGTTTATAATTAAAATCAATAAGAATACTTGAGATCATGAAAAAAAATAGTAAGACACAGGTATAGATGTTCATTATTAATATTCTGTTCAGTAGCAATGATTAAAATTCCTGAATGATAAAATAAATGCTATAAATATCACAAAGTAACAAAAATTCTCTACTTTCATAATTACATACACAGATATAGTTGCAGAAAAATTGGTATAATTAGCAGGAAAGCTTAGCAAAATGCCTTTTTGAAAAGTCAATATGAAAATAAATTGTATGTTTGTATATTAACAACACATAATTGGAAAATATTTTTTAGAAGAAATGCCATTTATATGGCAATATAAAACAGATCTAGAAAAAATTAGCTATGTCAGCTCAGAACATTTAAATAAAATAATTAAGAAATTAAGCTCAAACCACTGTGGAAATATAAATAGATTATGTTCAGAATGGAAAGACTTAGTATCATATAAACATCTGGCTCTCTAAATTTCACTTATAGAATCAAAGCAAGTCCAACCAAAATGACAATATTGTTTAGGCTAACTTAAAGGAGTGCTTCTAAAATTTATTCCAACAATACCCAAAACTTTGAGAAGCTAAAGGATAAGTTGAGGGCTGCTTCTGCC